GATATACATCTTTATAGATTCAGTATGATCAGTGTTACAGCCATTATCTCCAATGTTCCTGTGATAAAACATCTTGTTCTCGTGAGGAGGAGGCATCTCTGAGCATAATAGAGAATGATCTGTTGGATAAGATAAACAAATCCAGGGCCACGTCATTGATGCCAACATACAGCAATTGTTCAGACAGCTGTGGTCCATTGTGCCAAAAGCAGAGCTGAGGTCAAGGAGCACTGCAGATGAATACAGGCCTTCATCTGCTGCCAGCAGAACAGACTCAGTGCTATGCAGAGATGGAAAGGCAGACTGAAATTTTCAAAAATTTTTGTTCAATTTTGTTCAGATTATTGTTCAGAAATTGAATCAGTTGTGTCAAGGCTACTTTTTATAAAATTATGGACTAGAATTACCGTTTCATGTTGTTAAGTCTTCGCCAGCCAGTCAAATTCACAGGAATGGGACAGATGTGAGGTCACTGACCTTGACCTTTCAGCACCAAAATCTTGGACACTTGTGCCAAGATTGAAGAAATTCCCTCAGACAGACGGATGAACAACCAGAAAACATATATAACGTTTAAGAGAAGCGAGAGACTCACTACTGTTGTCTTTCTTCCATTTTGCTCTGCTTTCCTGCATCATCTATTTAAATTCCTTAGTGATGGTTAATTAGGGTGTAGTTCTTCCGACTTTGTCTGAGGGGGGCCCACAGTGTCATACTTTGTAAAACCCTGCTCTAACAGAACTTGGAACAGATGTAATTAAGAGCTATTGCCACATACACAGAGCTAATGAGAAAACTGTCTGACTCTGTATCAAAGTACTTCTTGGATGAATTACAGAGATTTCTTGTGAAGAAATAATCAATCAAACTGTGGTACATTTATCTGATTGCTGTCTTATCCCTTTATCCTCCAAAACGTCCCTTCTCAGTGCTCCTCTGTGGAGTGTAAAAGGCCTTTAAGTTCCATCTAGTTTTGAATGTCATTTTCTTTTTGAGTTGTGATCTGGGCCTGTATTTATCAAGCATTTCAGAGTAGGACATCACTTCTAACCGATGCATTTTTGGTCCTACTTTTAGGACTAAACGTAACAGCAGTGTGTCAACATTCCAAAGTTAGGAAATCGTTCCTATCTCCACCAAAATGTAGGAGAGCTCCAGAGGTGTCTTGACTGGCGAGGAGCAGGCAGGAGGCGACGATCAGACAGAGCTAAACACAGATGTTTTACTTACACTTAATGACACTGAGCTCAGGAAAAGATACAGTTTGGCCATAAATGGAATAGTTTTTGTGGCAGAGCTTGTACAAGATGCAGTTGATCCAACAAAAGGAAGAACACATGCCGTCTCCACGGAAACCACAGTCTTTTTATTAACAAGGCAGGTGCAGCAGCAGTGATGATTTGAGTCTGTCAGAGCCGACAGTTTTGGCCGTAATAAAAGAGACCTCCATCGCTCATACAGCTCCGCTGATGATGCACCGCTTCAGTCAGTTCCACCCCACTCAAACCTACAGCTGTCAGAAAACTACAACACGTCAGTGTCATGTTGCCTTTGTGGCTTAGAGTGTTGTAAAACCGTGGCGTCTCACTCGTTCTTAGGAGAAGCATTTCTCCTCGCTGAAAGTGAGAGTAGGATGCTTCATAAGTAAGTGTCACGTCCTACTCTAAGACAGTTGTTTTAGTCCTAAGTGTGATTCTGAGACACTTGATAAATACGAGCACCGATAGAGCAGTGCTGTAGTGGTACTTTTTAATCTCCCGTGTGTGGAGTGGGACAGAAGCTCCTCTTCCCAGCTAGCTGAACAGATTCAGGAGACAATCTGGATCCATTCCAGGCTGATAGTACAGAAACTGAAATGACTTCTTCTATCTGCTGTGTCCATGTGCCACGGGCCTAGACTTGTGTTCCATGTTGTCAGTAAATCCTACTTGGAACCATTTCCCCTATATTTTGTTTTTAAACATTCTCTGTTTCCTTTGTTGTCTGTCCTTAATCTTATATTTTATATTTCACACCCTCTGCTCAGCCGCTTCAGTGCAGTTTGCAAAACCAATGCCAATATAGTACAGCAGTTTTTGGTGCCTTGCTTTTTTTTAAATGTATGTATTTTATTTTACTCATAATGTAATATGGTTGGTGTGTCTTAGTGTCCAGTTACATTTGGATGTTCACTAATCTGAATGTCAATAATGAATATTTGTGCTGTTTTTTTTTTGTTGCTTTTTGTTGGTGTCTGAACTGCAGCCCAGACCGTCCCCCTTCCCTCCTCAGAGGCCTCTCCCCCTGAGTCCAGCCAGGGGGACTTCCCCAACAGTGAGTCCGGCCCGGAGCATCACCTCCAAAACCTCTCCAGGCCTGCTGGTCATGATGCCCCCAGCGGTGGGACCCAAACCTGTGGTCAAAGTCTCAGCCATCCCCCCTCTCAGAGTTCTCAGGTGGGCAAACACACAGACATACTGTGGTCTTAGCTGCTCAGGTAGGTGAGGGTCTTAAGTACAATTTTTAAGTAGCTGTACTTGAGTATTTTCATTTTCTTTTACTTCATACTTTGACTTCACTACATTTATTTTATAACTTTAACTACTAGTTATTTTTCATAAGCAGATTAATACAAAAACACAGTATAATTATAAGACCTCAGTGATCTATGGTGGAAAATTCACAGGCTGCCCAGCACTAATTCAACTTAAAAGCATATATGCCAGTTAAAACTAGCTCCCCCTTTCCCAGCTGCAACATTAAATGTGATTTACACAATAAAAGGAATTATAATACAATAATATGATATACAGGAATGTGAAATGTGCCATTCTACATAATGAGTACTTTTACTTGTAGTACTTTAAGTATGTTTTGATGCTGATACTTTTGTACTTTTACTGATATCACATTTTGAATGCAGGACTTTTACTTGTAACAGTATTTTTACATTGTTGTATTGGTATTTTTTACTTAAGTAAAGCATCTGAGTACTTCTTAATTTAATTAGCTGTCAAATAATGGCTTCAAATGTCCCCAAATAATAAAAGACAATGCTTTGTCCTTTGTCATCTTAAACCAAACAGAAAAAACATTAAACTTATTCTCAGTTATAATCAAAACTAAAGCAGAGTCAGCCCACTCACACAGAACACTCTGCTGGCGAATGCAGTCCAATACAGCAGTTACTCCATTTAAATCAGCGAGGCCAGGCTAAATAATGGAAACTGCTCTCTGCATATTGCAGCACAGTTGAATCACCACTTCTCTGAAACAACTTGAACACAAACTAAACATTATCACCTTCATGAAGGAGGATTTATTACGGGGCTGCTTGTGTTCCCAAACTGCCAACCAAGTGAACATTGTGTACAGAGGTAATATTTGGTGTCCAGGTCTTGTTAGCAATCAAGTGCTCAGCTCAGCACAGCAGAGGATGGGGTCACAGAGTGGTGATAATAACATCCTCCCCTGGGGGACCTTCCAGAGCCTTCTGGTGGGTGTGAGACCTGGGAAATGGTAGTGGACAGCAGCAGACCTGAGACATGACTACTGTATATCCATCACATCAGCGTGTGACCAAACCCAGCTAGTAGTGCCCTGCCTCTCAGCTTCAGCTTGCCAACAGCTACCCTGACATTATCCTGTAGGATACCTGGATAAACGTGGGAATTCATTTTCCCTCCACAACAGCAAGCGGTCCAGGTCCAGAGGTAGCAAAGCTGCCCCACATCATGATGCTCTCTCTGCTGTACTTCACTGTCAGGATGATGTGTTCATGTTGGTACACGGTTCTCTTTTCACACCATATGTAGTGCTGTGTGTTCTTCCTGAACAATTCCACTTCCACAGGACATTTTTCCAGTAGTGTTGTAGACTGGTCCAGGTGGTCTTTGGCAAACTTCAGGCTGCTGCAGTGTTGTTTTTGGAGAGCAGTGGCTTCCTCTGTGGTGTCCTGCCATGGCTACCATGCCTGGTCAATATTTTGTATATGGTTGATTCATGAACAGAGATGTTAACCAACTCCAATGAATCCTTCAAGTCTTACTCTAGGGTTCTGTTTTATCTCACTGAGCATTCTGCATGACCTTGGCTGGGCACCCACTTCTGTGGAGAGTAGCCACAGCACCAGATGGTCTCCATTTATAGACACTATCTCAAAATGTGGCCTGATGCGTATCTAAAGTCTTCGAGATGACTCTGTAACCCGTTCCAGCTACATGCAAATCAAAAACTCTTGATTGTAGATCTTCTGAGATTTTTTGTTTTTGTGAGGCCTGGCTCACACCAGCTGATGCTGCTTGTGAATAACACACTGACACTGTCTGAGTGTTTTTATAAATCAAGGTAGTTCCAAACCACACCCCCATTCTTGTTTTACTGACTGGACTCCAGGTTTACCTGACTCCAGCTTACGTTTAGTGACATCAGAGGCCTGGTGTTGCTATTACTTTTTCTACCATCACTTTGTATGTTTAATGGATGTGTTCAGTAAAGACATGAAAGGTCATGACTGTCTTTGTTCCATCAGCTTAGAAACATTGTGTTTTTTGATATTTGTGACTTTGGTGAAGATCAGATCACATTTCATGACCAATTTAAACAGTGTCTTTACTTTTTCTTGTGAGTATACATGTAAAGAAAAAAGGCTTGTTCATCAAGCAGCCTTTGTTTGTAGATTTGTTTCCATATCCTGAGATTTGAACCTGGTTTTGAAGACCTTTTATGACCCACCTATAAAAGTATAAGTATAAAAGTATCAGAGAGGAGCTGTGTACACATGTAATATACTGTCTTACAGTATTCCTGTCTTTCTATTCCATATAGCACGTAAGCACATAAATGTTCCAGGTTAACAAACCATGCCATGCATCGGGCTCTCATCAGCAATTAATTTTCATTTTTATCAGTGACAGGCCCCGAGTCTAAAGATTTTCTTTCTTTAGGCACAGAGTCTAAAGAAACTTTTTGTTCCATGTTCCATTTATGTGTGGTAAAAGTCAGGCAAGAAACTTCACAGCAATTGTTCTTCAGCTTTATGGCTCCTCTGCTCCTGTAATCTACTGTAGCAGATGGATCATAATCTCTCTACATCTGGTCTCTCTGGCAAAACTATGAGCAGATCCCACATCAGATCTCACACCTAACACCAGCTACTGAGTTCAGAGACTTGGTGAGAGGGAAAAGCAGAAGGATCAGACTTTACAAATCCCCAGCTGTCTTTGTGATCAAAGAAGGGTTCAACTGTGCACAGATAGCAACAGCTTTGAAATCAGTATTACTGGAATGCTCTTAGTGATAACTGGGTTTTGTACTGTAATACCTGTGCTTATGATAATGGCTAGGTCTGAGAAATTCCTGCATGTTGTTCTCAGCAGGGTGGAGAGTCTAAAGCAGTTTATCTCTCAGTACCTCCTCACTTCCCTACCCTGTCAGTGTTTCTCAGCTCCAGGCCCGGCCCCTTATCTGTAGAAAAAAAAAACAGGGACAGTAAAAACAGTGAAGTTAATTTCTTGTTTTTCACCCCCAACAAGCCGCAAAGGAGTTATAGTTGTGTCCATATGGTTTCTCTGTAGATGATGTAGCTCTGCCATGCAGTAGTTAGGTTTTTATGGAGACATGTCAGCTACAACATGGCTGTGGCATCTGTAGGGAGAAGCTCTGTATCCAGTGTTGGTGAGGTGATCATTCACTGCCGTGGGGGCTTCACTGGCCGGCTACTTGGAGGTTAGACCTGGTCAGGTAAAGCAGTGAGTCCCTGTACAGGAACATTCCTGGACATGCAGTAACCTCAGGCCCTGGATTTTTCTCCACATCCTCTGGTCACAGTGCAGCAACAGGAGGTAAAAATATATCCACAAAACCAGGCGCAGTCAAAAAATTCCACTTTTACAGCTCCCATGAGCATGCAACTGCCTGGAAATTATGACCATTCAAGGAAATCCTTAAACGATCATTTAAGACTTGAGTTTCTTGGGGGGGCGCAGTCTCGCCAGAGACAGAGTTGCTTCTGTATAGGTACACCTCGTTTTTTGAGCTTTCAGTCAGGTTTAAGATGGTAATTCATTGTTGTACCATTGTAGATAAGTCAGAAAACACAGCAAAGCATGCCATGGGCTCTTTAATGCACAACTGGAAAAACATCTTAAATTAAAATGTTGAGACAATAAGCCAAAATGTTGAAGTCAGAATAATGCAATACTGCATCATTATTCTGAGATAAGTTGTTTTACTTACCGTCTTACTAAATTTGACTCACTTGCCTAAATTTGAGGAGGTGTTTGGAAATATTAACTTATATTTGTGCAGAATGAGGAGTGTGGACTTTGACCCCATCTCTGAGTTAATTTGTCTGGTACTTTGGTCTAGGAGTGTATTGAAGGAACATGTCACCCAGTGCAACATGTGAAGCTCACTGATGTGTTTTTGGTCAACAGTGGAGCTCCATGGCACAGAGGACTCAGATATATAACGCTTTCATGCATGCCAACACACAATACTTGTCAGTCGGAGATATTCACTGCTGTTTTGGCTCTGCACATGGGATTCTTGGAAAATATCGAATATATTTCCAAGCTTATTCTTAAAAAAACCATATCAGCAGTTCAGTATGCCTTGTCATTTTAACCTTGAGATAGAATCTCTTTTTTTCCTCTTCCCCTTCCAGACCGATCCCAGGTGCCAAACCAAACACAGCCTCGCCTCGGCCACAAAAATGACCTTCTCCTCCTCTCTCCACCCTCTGAGGAGGCAGCGGCTGACAGCCTATTTGCACTAAAGAGACCTTGGCTGGTAAACCACAGTGCTGTCACATACAGCAGAGGAAGACGAACACAAAGTTAAAGCCGGAGACACGAAAGAACAAACAGGACTGAAATGAAACCTTACTTCCTTCTCCACTTCCACTTCTGAGCCCACCCCCTCCACCTTCCTCCTCCCGGCGCGCCAATATTAACCACAGTGACGCAGTTTTGCACGGAGACCTTGCAGACTGAGAGTGTAACCGCTGGGGATGGTCAAATTTGCCAAATCACTTGTTTTTAATATAATAGTTTTGTTTAGTTTTTTTAATCCGTCTGTGCTGTTTATGTATAAGAATGCATTTTGTAATGTTTTTGTTTACATTTTGTTTTACACCATGTTTTCTGATTTATGTTATGTGCCAAAGAGGTCTCTTCATACCTGGGATGTGTCCCGACCGCTTCAAAATCTCCTTGCATTACGTTTACCACAAGTCAACTCCTCCATATTTTTAGGTTCTATAATTTATTGTATTGTATGAGGAATGTCTAAAATACAAATCTCAAGATGCAGAGACTTGTCAGGAGGAAGGAGAGCCAATCACACAGCAGCTTCTTTTCAACACTGTTTACATGGTGGAGGACTTGATGGATGCTTGGGGCTTGTAGGACACATCCCAGTCGCTCATGCTGATTTGAATGTCCTTTGCTGTGTGTTATGACTTTTGAATTGTTACATAAATTTTTTTTACAATATGATAATTGAGTTTCTTTCATTCTTTTTTAAATTCCATTTTGAACAATATTTACATGTTTTTGAAAGGAAAGAATAGGGCCTATATGCATGAGCTACTTCGAGTCAGATGTCTCAGCCTGCGCAAATTAAATCTGTCCTGCAAAATTGAGGGCAAGCTATTTTCAAAGGAACACAAATGAACCAGCTATATCGGTTTGGGCTTCAAAAAAGCTAAATTTGAACTAAATCTGAGTTATAAACTGCAAGCATAAAGTTTGAAAGATATGGGTGTCCACCAGACACGGTGTGTTTCGCCCCAGCCTAGGGGTTACCTGGTGGCACCATGATAAAGGAGACTCTCCTCTTCCCAGCACCCAGAAATGACCAGCCTTACAGATTTAAACACTCATACTTTATTTTCATAAGTGAGCAGAGTGAAAAGTGCAGTTTGCCATGTCTTTGGGGTGGGTGCAGCCAAAATAACAAATGAAACCAGCTAACTTAAACACCCTGTTATAACCTCACCAAAAATAGAACAAACAAGACATAAAGCTTACATAAACTTCTAAACCGGAAAAAGAGGGGCTTGTAGTACCAGCAGGATGGCTATTTAGAACATGTACAAACTGACAGAAGACACTGGAGGACAGACATGCTGGCCCTGGGTCTGACAGCTGCAAAAGGAGAGCCTCAGTCAGGCGGGGAGGAGTCGCCACCTGAGATACACACCCACTCACTCAGTCGTACGCAACATGCTTCATGTGAGAGGAGGTTCCACCCATACACACGTTCATAGAGGAGAGAAACAAGGTTTGACAGAGCAAACAGAACCCTTACAACCAGATTCGTAACAGAGAGTCCATAAAAATGCCATAGGTTGTCTTATGGGAAATGTAGCATCCAGTGTTTTTGGAGCTTGACCCATATCATGTAGTAATAGTCAGGCTATTCCAGCCTGGTGCTGACACTTTGATTTTAACCTTTTCTTTTTATTTTTTACTTGTGGGTCTCCCAACGTTATGGATGTGCAATACAGAATTCCTGGAGTAGCCCTTTAAAACAGAGGTTTGGAGATTTAGGGACTATAGAACACTTTGACAAGGCTTAGTTTTTTTTGTTTTGTTTTTTTTACTTGAGCTAAACAACAGAAGTGGACATTGGGCTCATTACAACAATTCTCTGTCTCCTATGAAATGTTTCTTGTTGCTTGTTTTTGTTTAAACCTCACAAATCCAAACACTTCAGTGCAGGGTCAAGTCCTGAACAAACAAACCTGGGGGGCAGGTGTGTCATTACTGTACAAATGAGAGCCAAATTATTCTCAGTGCACAACCGGTACAGACAAGGGTGCTTAGTATAGGTAAAAGCCAACAAACAGTACCTAGTGTTAGCACTGCCAACACAAACCACCTCCTAACCACCACTGAAACTGACAGTCCAACAAAACAAAACACTGTAGCAACATCTAATATATGGATAATATACTGAAAGTATTTGTAATTTAACAGAATAATTATTAACAGGGAACTTTACTGATTTTACACATCAGCATGTGTTTCCAGGTGCTGTCGAGTACTACTGTATACTGTATGTGAAAAGGTTGTCTAAAGCCTTCTGTGTCCCCAGAGGGAGCTGTGTGAAGTCTGATAAAAGTCCTCAGCATCGACTGGGTCTGAGGACTGCATGTTTGAAAAGTTTTAAACAGTCTGGGGGTGTGGAGTTAGAAAGAAGTAAGCAGAAGTAAGCTACCATTTGACACAAACAGAAAGCATTCAACAGTAAATGTAAGAGATGGATAGTGACTCCAAAGGCTAAAAGGCACCGACCTAAGCAACAAGCAGCAGCAATAAGGTGCAAAAAGAAAAGTAAAGGCACTTTCAATAGTAAGGTAGTGTCTCACACAATAACAAATAGGGACTGAATACCAGGAACAATAAACCTGCACATATACAGAGCCCAGCAACAGTCCGTCAGGTGCTCAGGCTCAGAAAGTAGCTTTCATTTCAGAGGTATGAAACAGTTCTGGGGTCGAAGGCTCTCCTGAGTCTGCTGAGCAGGTCTGTGACAGTAGCCTGCCACTGACTGTGCTCCTCTGGTTGGTGACCGTGCTCTGCAGTGCTTGGTTGACATCGGCTATAACAGACGCCATTTTGCTTAGTCCTTCTTTCAGCAGCTAGTATAACACACCCCCATCTCCAACTACACTGTCAGCAGTGACTTGCATTCACTTTTGGTACTTTCTTTTCAGACACATATCAGTCATGAGTCCAACACAGGTAAAGAAGGGTATGATAAGTTGGTGGAGAACTCCACAATCACCCTGATCCATCTCAAACCTCATTTTGTTGTTTTCCATCATACCAGCTCTACAGGTAGGAAAACATTTTACTTGTCTCTAAAATAAAGCCATAAAAATCCAATTGCCCACTTACTGATTTGTAAATAAAGTTCTGCCAAAAGGCTTCTGTTTGAGGGGCTGTTGCTCTGTACTCAGCCTACTGGCTCAGGAGTTATACAAAGAACAGTACAATGAAGTATGAAATTAGGAAGTAAGATGTATAAGTCTTCAGTAATTACTGTAGGCAAAAGAGAGAATCAACAGTTTGAGTGGAACAATATCAGACAGTGAGGAGAGATGACCTCGCAGAGAAATGTATTGATGTAGACGTCTACCTAGCCCACTACCAGTGCCACCGGCACCCAAACAAACCTGTGGGGTGGATTCTGCAACGGTAGCAGATGCAATCTAAATGAAAAGAGCAGAGTTTTTTCAGGACCACTGTCTATAAATCAAGCTGCATGCAGCCACAGGTCTGAGGGAGGTGAATAAATAAACTAATAACTCTCCTCTGGCTAGCCTTCAGTCCAGGAGCCTGGTAAATGAAGTCAAGGGTTTATAAAAACAGCAGTCAGCTAGACTTTGTTGTCTTGCAACACGTTCCTATGATGAAGTGTAGCTGCTAAAAAGAAATGCCCAGTTTACTTTGTTGAATGCT